CTATAAGCTCTATAAGCTCTGACTCTGTACAGAAAGTTGACCACCCTGCAGGTGAATCGCAGGCACGGGCGGCGAGGCTCTCGAGGCTCTCCAGCTGTTTGATGTGCAGGTCTCCCCCCGCGCTGACGTCAGCAGGGACCGTGAACACACTGTCCAGCTCTTTCTGCTCGAACGGGATTCTCACATTCACCTGCGATATTCATATAAATAAAAAGTTCTCAAACCGTGTTAAAAACGAAGTTCATTAGACAATGCAACAAAATCATTTTGTAAACAAATTATTTTCCACTCCGTTTACAAAAAGTGTTAAGTTGGATATAATGTTTATAATATATAATTCATATAAACCAGACCAACAAGAGTATAGAAATACAAAGATTTAATACAAAAAGAGAAACATTTAGTTAAGACATTGCAGTCACAAGACACTTAATGCACAAAGTCTGTGGTCTCAGAAACCTCTTTTTCTGAAAATCCATCTAAATGTAATGGCTGCAGTTACATAATGAAATAGGTGGTCTCTTACAGCTCATCTCTGACCTATACAAAAAAAAAAAAAACAATTAGAAAGGATCCAGAGTAAATGTACTGCGGACTAAAAGAATTCATATAAACATTTTATCAGCGTAATCTGTTGATCAATCCATGTCATAAAAAGTGTATTGCCCTCATAAACCCAGTTTGTGTGCTTTATGAAATGATAATAAATCCATTAGATACTTAATTAAAAGTATTGGTACAATTTTATACCATATGGTGGTAAATTGTTCACTGTTGTTTCTTAACAATAAATGTTTTATTATGCTGAAAATTCAAAGCTGAACAGTAATTTTTAACAATATGAATAGTATAAAATGTATAAATGGAAATCTTTGTATGGACAAAAGTGAAAAAAGTGCTTAATCTGTATGAAGCGAGTTTGGTTAGGATATTTTATTTTGATGGAATCTAGAAATGTTGTGCTATTATTATAGACTGATGACTATTATTATACACGGAGTATGGTCAGTACAATCTCTAATATTGTGTAAAATAGGTTAAATTAATACAAATGAATACACACATTTTTGTGATTTTGTTTAATACCAAGAACACTGACCTTTTTTCTTGCACAAGGGAAAAGTTCATCCTTTGGCTGTTCCACCAGATCCATACCATCTCGAACCTTGGCCTCAGTGACCTGCAGTTCAGCGTACTTCTAAAAACAAAAAAACACAGAGCTGGATGAGTGTAGAAATTGTATTTAGTGTACAAAATTTTACTGTCAAAACTAAACAGAAAGATATTACAAGGTATATTACCTTTATTTCACAATATGCAAGTTCAGCTACATAATTTTACCATTTGTAATCGTTCTATCCAATCACACAACCTCTTACTTTTTTTGTCCTGGTGAAGCACTTTTATGTAGATTTTTTTATTTTTATTTTATTTATTCACACTAAACAAGCATCTTTATCAGCAGTATGAATCACATAAAATTCAAGTAGCCGCTGTGGTCTTGACCTCCAACACTTCCACACCTCAAACGCACACAGGTTTATTGCTGAGAAGTGCTTTGAGGCCAGAACATGTGTTTAAAGATTAATGTTTCCAGTCGATGGTTATGGAAAACCATAAAGGGTTCATGAACTCAGGGGTACTTGTGCTCAGTGACTACTGTGAGCACACAGGAGACTTGGGACCATCCAAAAAAAGAATATATTTAGTGGGGTGAATGCCATGATACGGAGTTCACAGAGTGTTAAAAAGATGATAAAAAGAAAAACGTGTAACAAAAATGAAAAAAAAGAGTATGTGTGTATCTACACATAAAAAGTGTTTGTGTGTATATACACTTTATTTTTTGTACCTAACCCTAACAATAAAAATGTAAAATAGTATGTAAATACCCAGAGCAGACCTAGAAAGAGTCTTACAGAAACAAGTCTTTATTACATGATAAAGGGAAGTGCTTCTAGTCATACTACCATCTTATCAACACAGACAGTAAAATAACCACTATGTGTGTGCCATGCAGATGGCAAGATGTGCGCTAACCCTTGTGATTTGTGTCCTTGAGAACAACACATAAAACTTGAATGAAGATGGAAGATCAAGACAAGAAATATACACACTGATAAATTCATAAAATCAAAAAATGTGAATAGAGAAAATGATAAAGAGAAAAAACAGTGTTACAAAGGAAAAACAAACAACCAAAAGCCTGTAGTGTCAGCGAAACAGTGACTGATGGTGTAGTCACTGCCACAATAGACACACAAGAGCACTGAACCGAAGAAAAAAAAATACCTGAAAGAGTTTGAAGTAGTAACGGAATATACTGTCACCCATCAGATGAGTTCGTGCAAACCGTTGACCTGCCAGGGCGATCCTTTTTGCCTTTAAACAGAAGAGAAAAACAGAAAGGTGGCAGGATTGTTTGTGCAGTTAGCTGCTGCAGTCACGCTTTAAACAGTGCAATCTGCACAACAACTGCACACATGCGTCTAAAAAATAATTGAGCATTTTCTATTTGTGTACTTTGTTAATAGATTAAAATGAATATAAATTACACCATGCACTTCTCCCAGAACTCTGTGATCAAATTTAACCAATTCCCACATGATTTGTGATTGCAATTGTGATTCTCCCAAAATACATAAATGTAAAAATAATGCATTATATATTATATTAATTATTTTATATAATACATATCATATCATATTTTATTTAATGGTTATTAGTTTTCTCACTAATAATCAGTGTAATCAGCCAATTCAGTACTTTTGGGATATGCTAATCATTCATCCATTATATTATATAAAATGCAGTGGGTATAGAAAAGAATCACCCCCCTTTAAAATAATCACATTTTGTTGCTTTACAGTCTGTAATGAAGACGGACACAGTTTTTGCTTTATCCAGCTGTATTTATCCAGTGGTTGAAGGAGAAAAATGTGAATGTCCCCATTGAAAATCTGTGGAATGACTTGAAGACTGCAGTCCACAAACGCTCACCATCAAATTTAACTGAACTTCAGCAGTTCTGCAAAGAAGAGCAGGCAAATATTGCAAAGTCTAGATGTGCAAAGTTAGTAGAGACAGAGACATATCACACAGACTAAAGGCTGTAATTAAAGCAAAAGGTTGTTCAACAAAATACTGACATGAGGGGGTAATCCTTTTTCCAACTCAGTGATTCTGTTTTTTTATTTATTTTTTGACATGCTGGTATTATATCTTTCACTTGGGTGTTATAAGATGCACTGAGTAAATACTAAATACAGCTGGATAAAACAAAACACACCGTCTTCATTTCAGGCTGCAAAGCAACAAAATGTGATTATTTAAAAGGGGGCTGATTCTATTCTATACCCACTGTATATCACACAGAAGATTAATTAAACTAATTATTGAAAATTAGTGTCTTATTTTGTTTCTGCTATATATATAAAATCCAAATGATATAGAACTGAAAAAAAAAAAAAAACAGATTTAAATTTAAAAAAAAGTCTGTGCTCCCAAACATTTTAATATGCAATATTTTGTGTTCACATGAGAATGAATGGAGATAATGTACCTCCTCATCATGGTCTCTAGCCCACTGGATCTTCTCCAGTAGGTCACTAAGGTCAGCTTTGAAGGGGATGTAGTGCACCCATGGCTGGAGCTGCTTGTAAAAGTGCTCATAATAGATGGAGTCATGTTTGAACACCACACCTTCTCCTGCAAGCAGGTAAGGCAGCCTGTAGGCTGCTACTGTCCCATCCACATTTATCTGGTACTTATACTGTTCAAAGAGAAATATACAAGTCACCTCAGATAAAAATAACACTACATAAAACACTGAAAATATGTGAATTAATTGAATTGAGGATCTATGGTGTGTGTACTGAAGTTCTGTGAAATCCATGCACCTTGAAGAAGTCGAAAAAGGACACATGTTTGACGAGGGGCCCATATAGGCTCTCATCGTGCTTGAAAAAGAAGAAATTGGTTAGGGCGGCATCAAGCATGTCAGGGTTCGCCCGCGCCAGTTTAACCAGCTCAAGACGCTCTTTCCTGCTGTCTCGCCCTCTCCAGAATGCTTTGCTGATCTTCTGCTCCCACGCTGGACCTGTGTGTCCCTGAACAGACATCATGTCCAGACTCACTCTGCCACACAACAAATGATCAAAGGACAAAACATATTTTAATCAGTCAGAAGAGGAAAATAATCAGAAATGTAATTTCATGTTGTTATGAACTAAAATATAATGATCCATGTTTTTTCCTCTACAAATCACTGAACTTTTATATGCATCCCCTCAGATTTCTGTCACAATAATTATGTAAATGTTAGCACAGATATTGCATCTCGTTTTCATGGACAGAAATTTTAAGTATTATCACTCACTCATACTCAACATCAATTATATCATATGAAAAAAAAAATCTTTTAGCATTTTGCTACAATAAAAACAGTTTTAAAATTAAGTTCTGTTTATTTCCTAGTTTAAATCAGATTTTAAATCATAGAGTTCCTTAAAAATCCATAAAAAGTTTTTTGTTCCATTAAAAAGATGTTATCTGCATCTCCAAGAGTCACAAGAGTTTCTTTACCTGCCCATAGTCTCCAATACAGATTCAGTGAGGTCATATGTCGGCATGACAATGTCTTGTGTATCATTGGACCCACACCATGAAAAGATCGGGCTGGGCTTCTCAGAGGCCTGTCTTTTCTCCAGGGGCCAGTCCTCCAAATTAACAAAAAACGAAATGTCTGGAAGCTTGACCTGGTCACACGCAACAACATAAATGGACTGTTAATTTTTCAGTTATAAAATTACACTAATCAGTCATTCAACATAACACAAAACACATAACACATTATTCAAAATATATTTCAAAACTTTGGGGTTGTTAAGACTTTTAAATGTGTTTGAAAATTATGCTAATGTATTTCTCTTTAAAGGCTGAATTTATTTGATCAAAAATACAGTAAAACAGTCATATTGTGTAATATTATTACAATTTAAAATAAACGTTTTCTATTTTAATGTATTTTAAAATGTAATTTATTCCTGTGAAGGCGAAGCTGAATTTTCAGCTCCAGTCTTCAGTGTCACATGATACTTCAGAAATCATTCTAATATGCTGATTTGGAGCACAAGAAACATTTACTATTAATATAAATGCTGAAAACAGTTGTATTGCTTAATATTTTTTGTGGAAACGGTGATACATTTTTTCAGAACTCCTTGGTGAAAGAAAGTTTAAAAGAACAGCTTTTTTAAACAAATTTTCGTAACATTTTTAATGTTTTTTTCTGTGACTTTTGATCAGTTGAATACATCCTTAATGAATAGAAGTAATAATGTTTCTTTTCCATTGGTTAAACTACTTTGGGACATTGCCACAAACCTATCAGTAATACTATTGTAAGGACTAAAAATAGCGCTGTAACACTCCTTAAATTCTCCTTTTTTGATGTCCATGCCTCCAACCTTTCTACGTTAGAGTGCCATCTAATGGCTATGAAGGTAAATGACTGAGCACATACTTAAGAAGATGTTTAATAACATTATTATTACTTAATATAACTTGTATGCATAAAAGCACTCAAAAACATTTGTACTATCTGTATATTGGGGTAATACTCACTTTACGTGTAAGGGACAGAAGGAAGGCATCCATGAAGATCCTGAATCTGACATGTTCTCCATGTGTTTTTATATAAACCTACACAAACAAAGAATAGAAATGCATGTTATAATGTTTCAATCTTTGGTATCTAACTGCTTCTTTATGTAGTTATAGGCTATGTAGTTATATAGCAGCAGAAAGCAATGGAAGGCAGATAGAGTGAGGTACAGATATAAAGATAAAACACTTTCACCCAATCAATGGTCCATCATTCATTTTAAACATATGACAAAAGTACTTATTTCTTTAATTAAAGGTGCAGTAGGAGATCTTGGAAAATGCTAACTTTAGCCTGATAGCACTGAAAGCGAATGTCCCACCTCTCTGCAATCGCCGTCCAAAGCCACGCCCCATGAACGCATATATGCTCACAGACCAGAATAGCAGAGACTACATTAGTATAATAGGCTACATCCACGGTTCCCAATTCCAGTCGCCCACCCCCCTGCACATTTCATATGTATCTCTTATCACGTGCGACGTTTGTTCTATTCGACCATAAGCGCCCTGCGATATCGGGATGTGAAGAGACTTTCAACCAGCATAACAAAACATGTTTCTGAAGACAATCACCTATTGCACCTTTAAATAGTTCACCTTTAAAACAGTCCACAGGCATCAAAGTGACTGTGATGAGCTCACTGAATGTGTGTATGCGTGTGTACCTGGTTGTTTTTGATGGTGTAGTGGCACAGGCTATGTCTCTTCCCAAAGCGCTGAAGAATCTCATGGGCATTACGATCTGGATCCACCCCAGTAACTTTGTTTTGGTAAGCCTTTTTCTGCAAGCGTCTGAAAAAATGAACGCGTCAGATTTCACTCCCTTTGTGACGTGGCAAAGGGATCTTATTATAATATAAATATTATATTATAATATAAAGGAACAGTCCTATTCTGGAAAAGGGGGCGGGGAGCAGCAGCTCATTTGCATTTAAAGATACATGCATGAAAACAGTGTGTTTCTGCTTTCTCTCAAAATAGGCATTTTCAAAATGATATAATAAATGATCCGTGGGATATTTTGCGCTGAAACTTCACAGACACATTCTGGGGACACCTGAGACTTATATTATATATTGTAGAAAGGGGCATAATAGAATCTTTAATACAATCTCTTCAATGGTTCTTTGCATCACTTTAAGGATCAGCAGGTAAGTCTTCTTTATGCTGTATATGGCAGATTATAGACTTTAAAAGTTGTTGATGTTGCATTATAGGTTCTTTAGAAGTGAGTATTGGTCTCTGGGTTTTTAAGCACCGATATAGTTTCCTTAAGAAAGCATAAGATGATCTTGGTGGAAATATTGAGGTTCTATTGTGGTTTTATTTTTTGGTTCTAGCTGAAACCTTTATTTAAGGCAAGACATAGGCAAATCCATTGTTTTTTTTTAGTTATTTTGCTTCCATAACCTTTTTTCTTTCTGACTAGAGGAAAGAAAACATCCCATGTATGTGTTTATTTTATTACATCTATTTGTGTCTGCAGATTTCAATGACAGTACATATTTTTAAATGATGTTTTCTGAAAATGCTTTTTTCATGCACTGAGCCAGAAATCTTTACTTATATTCACGTAACTTTACAGTTTAATTTCAATCTATATTCTGAAGGCATTTAAAGAGGGGTTTGCCTAATTTATATAACATTGTATATCCTAAAAACATTTATTTACAGTTTTTTTTCCCCTGCCTTTTGACAGTATTTTCTGATTTATTGAGTGATAAAACTGTAATATTTCAACCAAATGAAACTAAATCTTGAACCTGGCTTCATCCAATGTTAAAATTTCTGTTCTGAAAATTTATGCAAATAAATACTTAATGTATATTTCATTAGATAATGTATCGTTTACATAGTTAAGCATAACATTTCAGAAAACTATCGTCTTAATGTACTGTGATTTATCAACTTGGGAAGTATGGTGATATCTAATAGTTAAAATTTTACCATTTTCACATGTGGTGTGTTGCCTTAAAAAAAAGAACATTACAAGTGTCTTAATCCAGGTTTGAACCCACAACCTATATTTTCTAGCCAGATGTTTAACCACTAAGCCTAGTGTCCCATTCTGGTCTTTCAGCAGAACTGACTCACTTTCTTCCGGTGGTGTCCACTGTCTGTATGAAGAAGAACCGAGCAGGAAGGACAATGTTTGTTTCCAGTCCAGGACCCCAGATTAAAGTTGGGCGATGCCGCTGCCTTTGATCTCCGTATCACGAAAATGATGCAAGGCATCATGAGCAGGAAAAGCTTTCTCAACATGTTTAGGGAGGATGAGGACACTTTCAGTAGTGGACGCGTTCATTTACCATCACTCCCTCGGAATGACAATGCTCTTAAGAGTTCTTAAAAAAAAAAAAAACATTGCTTAAAAACACTAACCATACATTTC